ACAACCGTAGGATCGATCTACGAGGCCGTTAGACACCAGAATGGCAAGAAGAGAGGACCAATAAAAACGGCCCCTGGTGGACATATCAGGAAGAAGTAAGCAAAGAACCCATCTAAAGTATGTATTTCTTTGTTTTTCTATCTCTGATGATACGCCCAAAAACGAGTAAGAAACTTCAGATTATGATTAAATCATCTTCCCCAGAGATTGCCTTACCTTCTTAGTCCATATTCATATATATATGCTCCCACGTGTAAACATCTACAGGTGCCTCAACACCTATACTCATCGGCAGTATTTGCTTCTTTACGGTTTCTTGTTGCGCAATGATTTCTTGAATAGCTACCGTTCATGACTTACGTTAGAAGGGAAAAGAAAGAGCTGACAGTTTAATTTGATTGTCGATTCCTTTAGTTTTGATCTCATCCTTGATCGATCGCCAAAAATAACAATTAACAGATTTACGAGCCTCTTACAAATAGGCGTTAATGTGCAATAAGCAACCGCAAGACCCAATTTATTGGATACAATAGCAAACGGGCTCACACTCACCTTGGGCACCGGATTCACCCCGAAGACCTATTAGACCGGGTAGACCCTTCAAGCCTGAGAGTCCAGGTAATCCGTCAATTCCACTCAGACCCATTCTTCCGGGCATTCCGAAATCACCGGGCTCACCGCGATTGCCCTTAGCTCCAGGCATGCCGTCCAGCCCAGGGAATCCAGCGTCACCCTGTTCCCCCTGAAGGCCAGCCAATCCAGGGTTGCCTTCAAAGCCTTTGACTCCAGTAAAGCCCATTTCACCCTTTCCACCTCGTCCGTAGCACCGTCCAAAGTCACCCATTTCACCTTTTGGTCCATCAAAGCCTTCGAAGAAACAACAATTAACGTGCTGCTTAATGGATTAAGGTAAGGCGTTTTTATTGAGTAGTAGGGTCTGGTTAAAGTCGGTGGACATTTAGCCGCCCAAAGGGGACAAATGAGCGTACCCATTCGAGTCCATGTTATACACAAAGGAAAAAGTATATTGAACTAGCATGTTATAACTTTTAGTCATCAATAAATAATGACCGATTAGACCGAATTGCTGAAAAGAGTCCATCATGGAAAGGACATTTTTGAGAACAGTACGTGATCTAGCTCGTGAAGCAAGTTAACGGTTAGGAATAGTCCCGTATTAATCGGAAACCATACAAAATATATCGACTAGACCTCGCAATTAAAAAGGCGACCTCACAAATTTTAAGTTGGGTGAATTTTCACAATCTTCCAATTTTTCGGGGGCCTGCCGTTGGTCCAGTAGGGATTGTTGATGATACTGAACCCTATAAGTGTCCTTGGAAGGCCAACGTGTACAATGACCGCTTACGTCAGCTTATAAGGTTAACTGACGTTTAAAATTACCACGGGAATAACCGCCTACTTACAAATTTTAAGTAAAATGAATTTCCAAAATCTCGCATTTTCGCTGATGTAATGTTAATCCGGTTAGATTAGTAATGCTATTAAAAGGTCAGCGAACACCCCCCC